GTGTTATATTATAATTGGATTTATTTTATTAAATGGAGAAATAATAATATATTTGAGGTATTATATTACTATTTGGTGAAATAATGTTAGAAGTTAATATTATTAATGTGGGCCTATATGGTGTGAGTGGAAGTAATAAGGGGGTGTAAGTTTGGAGCCCAATAACGAATAATATAATAATATTAGGTTATTTTATTATTTGTGAGAAGAATAGAAGGAGGAAGCAGTAAGAAGAAAATAAGGATTGTGAAGAATGTGAAGTTGCTGGAAAAAGTGGAAAACGGCAAGAACGAAGATTCAACCTGGGAATTGTAGAGCGACCTTCGATCCAAGGTAAGGGTGGGGTTCTAACTTTATAATTGGGTTCATGATGTTTGATATATGGGGTTAGATGTAATTGCTGTTTGTTCTTGAATTAGATGCGTTATGAATGATGTATGGTGAAAATTGATGAATTCTTGATGGATAATGATGTTGTTGTGTTGTTTAATCGATGGGGTAATAGAGTATAATGTTAGGTGATGATTTATCATGTTTATAATGAGGTTTATAGGACTGTAATTAGATTCTAGTAGTAAAATTACAAAAGAAAACGCAGAAAATTATGCAGACTATCGAAGGATGTGTCGACCCCAAGCTGGATATGTCGATACATGAAGGATGTTCGACTCAGGATGAGTCGATGCATGCAAGGCTTGCATCGATGCATGATAAGTACAAGACTCAGGATGAGTCGACACGAAGAGAGGATGTGTCGATACATGAGTGTGTGAGACTCAGGATGAGTCGACCGGTGCGATGCATGTGTCGATACATGCTGTATTGAAGGACAGAATGAGTCGATCCATAAGAAGGATGTGTCGACTCATAGTATACAGATGAAGCAGGATGAGTCAATCTAAGGAGTTTTGTGTCGATACATAATGTCGGATTTCTTTCGACAGATTCAGTTTTAAAGTGATGTAACTTGAGTTTTAGGATTCTGTTTGAGATGTCGTTCGAAGCATTGATTAGCTAACGCGATGAACTTTATTCTAGATGATTTAAATGATGATGAAGAGCTGTAATCCTAGTAACCAATCTAATATTTAGAATTAATTCCCGTAGATGACCGTTGTGCTGTTTTTGGGACAGATTGACGAATATGAGATGTTAAAGGCTGTTGTTAGAATTATGACAGTAGAATTAGTGACAATAATGATGTACAGTAGCAGACTAACAGTATGGCTTACTGTATTATTAATATACAGCTGAGTTATTAGTAAGATGTGGTTATTAAAGTGGTGTTTGATAATTTATGATGAACAAATGATGTTTGATAAATAAGTAATGTTTAATAAATTATTTTGAGATGTTTACGAGAGATGCTGTAATTGAGATGTTTTGAGATGTTTATGAGATGTTGTTATTTTGAGATGATTGAGATGCTGTTGTTCTGAGATGTTTATGAGATGTTGTTGTTCTGAGATGTTTATGAGATGTTGTTCCGAGATGATTGAGATGTTGTTGTTTGAGATGACTGAGATGTTGTTGTTTTGAGATGATTGAGATGTTGTTGTTTTGAGATGTGTTTTGAGATGTTGTTAACTGAGTGTGTTATTACATTCATGTTGAGTCGCATACATTGCATTTTTTGAGATGGAGCTTATGCTCGTTGAGATGGCCTGGATTGGCAACTTTTGAGATGAAGGCTATGCCTTGTTGATGCCTCTATTAATTGGCAGATTAGATTTTTGAGATGGGAGTTCTGCTCCAATGATACCACTTGCATTTGCATAGTTTTGAGTCGCATTTTATGATTGAATAATGAAGAGTATTTGATGTTGATGAATGAGTATATATATTGTAATTGTTGTTGATTATGAGATGAGAAGTGGTGATATTATTGATCTAACTTAATATATTAATTATCATGCGCTTTATTATATTGTTAGATATCTCACCCCTTCTGTTTGAATGTTTCCCTTATGTTGGTAACGTGCAGGTAATTAAGAGTGAAGGTTGTATACCTTCAATAGTTCGAGTCGTGTCATTGCTCTGATATGTAACACTCGGGGGGATGAACGCTTGCTGATTTTTTATTGCTGATTTTTAGTTGTTAGACTTTAAATTGTTTACTTACTAAATATGAGATGTTTCAAAGTTGTTGCTTTTATTTAAAGATGTTATTGAAGAATTCCACTGCGTAGTTGTTGAATTATTTAATGAAAGATGTTATGTTGATGGTTCATCCGATGTTGTGAAAACGTGTTATATATCCATGATGAATGCAATGAATTTGTTAGAAGAATTTGTGACATCCCAATTTGTTTGTGTGAATGAAATTTTATAACTCTGGTTTATTTTGCATAATTTGCTTGGGGTAGAATTGGGGTGTTACAATAGCCATTGGTGACAAGATCTAACACATCTTGAGAACCAAATAACACACACATCTGGATTTTCCAACGATTCTAGTTTTTGCCATCAAATACTGGAAGCTTGGAATGAAAATCTTCGTCGTTCCCATTCATCTTCTACCTTTGGGAAATTTACGCAGATTTTCCCAAATCAATATTTCTCAAAAAACCCCAGAATCAGAATATTGTAATTCTTAATCACAATACTTCTTTTCCCCGTGGATTTCGAACCGGAGCTCTAGATACCAATTGTTGGTGCACAAAGAAGAGATGAAAGGCAAAAGAAATATATTTAATGACGACTACAAAAATAAGGAACAATGATTTATAATGAATTACATTGAGCTACCTCACTAGGCTATTTATACACAAAAATTAAATCTAAAATATATCTTCAAACAAATATATAAGAAGATCTAAGATATATATCTTCTAACAAAGATATAAACAATCTAAAATATATTCCTAAATATAAATTAATTATAAAATTTAAATTAATTCTAACAATAATATCATATAATTTTATCATATTCAATTGTACCATAACAAACATCCTACAATTTATTAGAACAAACAATCTACAATTCACACATTACATAACACCACATAATTGTAAAATTGGTGTTTTGGTTCTTGTCTTTTGGTGTCTTGACTCTAAATACCTATAATTTCAAATAATTATACTTGTTAGTATAAATACTTGGAAACTATAACATACTTGAATATATTATGAAAAAAGAATAAATTGCGTACCTATTAGTTTTCCCAAATGCCTTCTTCGTGATCGATTCAAATAGCATGGACAACATATCCATCAACTTCATTATATGAGGTAGGAACTTGTGTTGTGTAAGAAGGCGTGGACGGAATATCAAGACTTTCATCACTAAGAGAAATGTGTTTTCCTTGGAGAACGATTGACCATTTCCCTGATATGTCTGATGGATCGGTAACATAGAAAACTTATTTTGCTTGAGAAGCCATGATGAATGGTTCGGTCATAAAATATGTCTTTCCAAGGTCGACCCGGGTGAATCCTAAGTTATCAATGTATAAACCATTACTATTATTGGGAATTCACTTGCATTTAAATAAAGCCACTTTAAAAATAACATCATCAATCTCCCAAATCTCATCAATGACACCATAAAATGCGGTAGTTGCCAATACATGATCCTTATCTTTCAAACTAGAGAAATACATCGATTTGACTTCAACCATAACCTCACTATTTTGCATTGTACTACGGACATCTTTTGATTTTGTATAAAAGGTATAATGACCAATGTCGTATGCAGTTCAAGTAATGACACAAAATTTTGGCTCGTACGACAACCATTTAAGTATCTCGGATGCACTACGATCATTAGATACACTTTTATTAAACCAATCTATAAATCTCTTATTATTATCTATCAATAACAACTTGTCACTCATTTGAGGATATTTTTTCCTCAAAAGTCTTTTGTGAGTATCTATGAAAGGTTGAATTTCATTTATATTATTCAATATATAGAAATGTGCTTGAATAACTACATCCCGAGCCATTGACTTAACATTTAGACCTTGAATACCTCTTTCATTTGTGTGATCAGTGTGACGATACTTTGGAATGCCTAATGAATCCGCTTTCGGCAAATAGTTTATACAAACCTCAACAACTTCTTCAATGATATACCTTTCAACAATCGAAGTTGCTGGTTGGTGATGGTTCTTCGTATATCCTTTAAAGATCTTCATATATCTCTCTATTGGATACATCCACCTTAAATAAACTGAACCACAAAATCTGATTCATCTGACTAGATGAACAAGTAAGTGAACCATAATGTTAAAAAATGATGGTAGAAAATACATCTCCAATTGACACAAGATTATGATAGCCTCATCTTTTAATTCATCTAATTTTTTAAAATAAAGAACTTTATTACATATGGCATTAAATAATAAGCACAATCTCGTTATAGTTACTCTCACATTCTTTGGTAGGATCTCACGGATAGCCACTAGTAGAAGTTGTTGCATCAATACATGATAATCATGAGATTTCAAACCAATTAACTTGAGATCTTTCATTGATACAAGTTTTTTGATGTTTTATGAGTAACCTTGCAGAACTTTAATACCTTGCAAACACTCGCAGAAAATCTTCTTTTCCTTTTTAGATAGAGTGTGACATGCTAGAGGCATTATGATATTATATTTAGTCTAATTTTTTAACCTTTTACTATCTTTATTATTTATTTTTAAATATTTTTAATGGGTCTCAAATTATTCCTTAATTCCAATTTATAGTTATTCTATTCATTATTACTATTATAAAGTATAAATAATATATTTTTATTAATTTAATCTCGTTTGAATTTCGTATTTTTTTTTATGTGATTTATAAGATTTCTTTTATAGGAACATTTTTTTAGCTAAAAAGTTATTATTATTATGATATTATATTTACTTTAATTCTTTAATCTTTTTTATCTTTATTATTTAAATTTTCCCGAGTGTTTCAGGTTATTCGTTAATTTTAGTTCATTCCACACACTATCAAGATGTTACTTGGAGCAAGGTCATTTGGCACATTAATATCCCCTCAGTAGATCCATGTCAGTTTGGAAGATGATTTATTCTAAGGTTTCCACAAATGATTTTGTGATGAGTTGCGGTATCTCGTTGGCCTCCCGCTGTCATCTCTGTTGTGCTGCAATAGAGTCCTTCCAACACTTCTTTTTTTATTGCAAGTTTTTCAAGTGTCTTTGGAAATGGTTGATGAATAAGTTTAATCTCTCCATTAACCCTAACTCAATCGTTGGTTGGCTTGATTTTTGCTGTCATAATAAAGCCCATCAGGCCTCTCTTGTTCTCTGTGTTGAGGTCATCAACATGCTTGTTAAGATTTGGAAAACCAGAAATATGGTGAAGCACAACAAGCATCTCATTACTCCTGCTATTGTTATTGATTGGATTATGCATCAAGTCAAAATGTCGGGCAATTCTACTTCCAAGGCCGCCAACATCTCCATGCTGGATTTCTACTTTATCAAGGTGTGCAAAGTTAATATCCTTCCTCCCAAAGCTCCCTCCATTAAAGAGGTTATTTAGACTCCCCCGTCATTTGGCTGGATTAAAAGCAATTGTGATGGAGCTTTTATTCATGACACTTCTAATGCTGGAGGTGGGGGCATTTTTCGTAATCATAGAGGTGATTTTATTCTGGCTTTTGCGGAAAATATTTTGTGTGTCTCTTCCATATATGCAGAATTCGGGGCTGTTATTAAAACTATTGGAATTAGTATAGATAGGAGTTGGATAAAGCTTTGGGTTGAAACCAACTCTAGTTTTGTTGTCAAAGTTTTTTTCAACCATAGTTTAGTACTTCTTCTTTTTAAGAACATATGGAATTTATGCCTTCTTCATGATAAATTTTCGCATATTCTCTTCACTCATATTTGTTGGTGCACAAAGAAAAGATGAAAGGCAAAAGGAATATATTTAATGACGGCTACAAAATAAGAAATAATGATTTACAATGAATTACATTGACTTACCTCACTAGGCTATTTATACACAAAATAAAATCCTAAATATCCTCTAACAAAGATATAAAAATATCTAAAAAGATATTCCTAAAATATAAATTAATATCGAAAATATATTTCTAAATTAATTCCTAAAATATAAATTAATTCTAACACCATCCCTTAATTTATATTTACACAAAACTAGAAACACCAATTTCATCCCTCAAACAAAGAAATTGATCAATCTTGATAGCCTTTGTTAGAACATCTGCCAGCTGCTTATTGGTGCTACAGTGCACAACTTCTAATATTCCATTCTGAACCTGATTCCTCAGAAAGTGATACTTGGTCTCAATATGCTTGCTTCTCCCATGCATAATTGGGTTCTTGGCAAGATTGATTGCAAACTTATTATCAATCATCAGCTTCAGAGATTTGTCTACTTTAAACTTCAGATCTTGCATCAAGTTCAGAATCCACACAACTTGGCATGCAGTCAGAGCACCTGCAATATATTCAACTTCATAGGTTGACAGCGCAACAACAGGTTGCTTCTTGGAACACCAAGAAATAGGACCTCCTAGAAATTTGAATAAGTACCCAGAAATACTACTTCTGTTAACTCTATCTCCATACTAATCAGAGTCTGAATAACTCATAAGTTCTGATTCGATCTTTCTTCTAGACGAAAATAACACTCCATACTTCAGAGTTCCCTTCACATACCTCAGAATCCTGACATCACTTGGTTCTTGGCAATATTGATTACAGACTTGTTATCAATCATCAACTTCATAGGTTTGTCTACTTTAAACTTCAGATCTTACAGCAAGTTCAGAATCCACACAGCTTGGCATGTAGTCAGAACGCCTGCAATATATTCAGCTTCACAGGTTGACAACACAACAACAAGTTGCTTCTTGGAACACCAAGAAATTAGACCTCCCAGAAATTTGAATAAGTATCCAGAAGTACTTCTTCTATCAACTTTATCTCCACACCAATCAGAGTCTGAATAACTCAGAAGTTCTGATTCGATCTTTCTTCCAGACGAAAATTACACTTTATACTTCAGAGTTCCTTTCACATACCTCAGAATCCCGACAACAACTTGGTAATGAGACCACTTTGGATTACTCATAAATTTGCTAACCATTCCAACTGCGTAACAAATATCAGGTCTAGTATTACACAAATACCTTAGAGAACTAACCAACTGTTTGAAGGTTGTAGCATCCACATCCTCTCCATCAGAATCAGAGTCCAACTTCTGATTCGTATCTTCAGGTGTGATAGCATTTTGCAATTCTCTAGCTCAAATCTCTTCATAAGCTCAAGTTCATACTTCATCTGATGTAAAATGATTCCTTTCTCAGAATATATAAACTCCATCCCTAGAAAGAAACTCATTTTTCCAAGATATGTTATCTCAAACGCATTCATCAGAACTTTCTTGAACTCAGCTATCTCTTGTTCAGAACATCCTGTTAGCAATATGTCATCAACATACAAACATACCAGAATCATATTACCTTCTGAAGTGTGTTGAACATAAACACCATACTCCATCTCACACTTCTGAAACCCTTGTTCCTTGAAAATCGAATCAATCTTCAAATTCCAAGCTCTGAGCGCTTGCTTCAATCCATACAAGGTGTTTTACCCCCTAAAGTTTCCCTCTCATATTTCCCAAGACATTGCAAGAAAAATCTCCAAATGAATCAAGATTGCTCAAGAGTTGGACAGTCAAGCTATCTCCTAAGGCAGTCAACCTCAAATTAGGGTTTTGTGTTGCATCAAGGTACTTGCATCCAAATGAACTCAAGTTCTCCCAAATGTGCTAATATGTTCTCAAGTTCATCCATGTAAAATTTCAAGCCTTGCAGAGGAAGTTTGCTCAGTCAATTGCTCAAAGGGTCCAAAAATCGACTGTGCTAGGGCAAAAGTCAACTGTGACCCAAATACAGTCAAACTTCAAGAGTTTTTGTCAACATTCCCATTTTGAAGGATATTTCATCATTTGATCAAGGTTTGATCATGATTCATCAAGGATTGCTCAAAATTCATCAAGACTCAAAAGTTGCTAAATTAGGGTTTTGTAGGAAAAGTCAACTCAACTTTGACCAAGCATAACTTTCTCATACTTTGTGATAAATGACCCATCCAAAGCTCATTTTGAATAAGATTAATTTCCTACAATCCATATTCATACCCCAAGATCAGAAAATTCACTCACAAGAAGTTATAAATTTGGATATTATAGGTCATTTTTGAAAGTCAACAAAAACACTTTTTTTCCAAAGCTTATAACTTGAGCATGGAATATCAAAATTAGATGAGACCAAAAGGTATGGTTATAGGACATCTCAGGCTTTCTAAAAAGTCCAAGAACACTTCCAAAAGTTCAAAATTGAAGAAGTTATGCATTGTTGAAGTTGGGCATTTTTGCAAAATTGCCAAAAGTCAACTATCCCCAAAACTTCAAATTTTGTCAAATGGGCCCATTCTTTTCCACTCGATTTGATCTTGTCACACTACACACGTGTCCTAGCTTCAGCCTTGTGACCATTTGTCAATTTTATTATTTAATTTGATTTTTTAATAAATTATTTCATTTTAAATCAATTTAAATCAAATAAAATCCAAACATTGATTATTTGATCTCTTTTTGGCTATTTCAGGACCTAATCATCATCATCAAGTGAATCAAATTCGTATCATACATCCCATGTGCAAAAATATTGGATTTTGGACAAAATTGGAAGGTTATCAATGGAGGATCAAATCAAATCTCCAAGCATTGATGTACAAGGATTCAGTCCACAAAAGTTAACCTAATGCATTGCTTATTACATATACAAGTGAAAGGCACGGGAATTGGAGGTTAGAGGCTGCAGAATCATCAAAAGCAAACTTGAAAAAATTGCCAAAAAGTGTGAAACTGAAATCGTGCATAGAGGCCAATTCAGAAGCAAATCTCCACACTAATCCATTGCTGGGCAATCATTGAAGCGAAACCAATCCCTAACAAGCCCTCATACGTGCCCTAAAGCTCTGTAAGTGTCTCAAAAATATGCTTTTAAGTTGAATTCGTATATCATTGTTCTTGCACTTTTCTTGCAAAATCTTTGCATATTCATGCTTATCGTTCAATTTAGAAGCATTCTGCATTAGCCAATTGCATGTATCTAGCCTATAACCCCATAGCCGAATCTAGTGTTCTTGGTTTGTGTTTTTGGGCATTTCTTGTACAGGTGAAATCAAGACTCAAGAGAGATATAAGTTTGCTCAAGAGGCCTAGACGAGCACAACCATGTGCTTGGAATAAATTTCCATGGCCTAGAACGGATTTTAGGTTGAACATGCGAATTTAGCTGCGGATATAAATCCACAGGTAAATATCCAGGGTGAACGAAGAAGATGAAGACGTGTCCCCTTCCTATTGGCTGGTTCAAACTTGGCGCGTGTTTTTTTTTATATTTTCTGGCATTTTGTTTGTTTTCCCATATTATTATTTCTGATTAATCCATTGACAACTAAAGCATAGTGGTGCAGTGGTAGAGGCGCGTGTACAATGATTCACAGGACCTGGGTTCGAATCCCAGGTCCCCCATGCATTTGTTAATATTTTTCTTCAGGTTATTCAGTACAAAACCAAGTGTGTGGTTCATCATACTCCCTCACTCAGATGCTTGTCAGATGGCCCCAGGCCAGATCTGGTGGTCCAGATGTGATGTCCACCATATGCTCTAGTCAACGTGCCACATGGAATTCCAGAAAGTCAGCCAGGCCTGCATGTTATTGGGCCATCAGATTGCTATCAAATCCTCCTTTTTCAGGCCCATGACCTCCTAAACTCTTTCTCTATTTTTATTATTTTTTTATTTATTGTTATTATTTTTAATTAGCCAATTAAACTTTTTCCTCATAAAATCAAAAACCAAAATATTTTATTTTATAAATTAAATTCCAGCATTTTATTTTTTGTTAATAAATATTAATTTAATTAATTTAGTTTAATTAGGAAATAACTTTAATATCTTTTGCAATAATTAAAATTAATTTAGATAATTATGTTTTATTAACATTGATCAAATAATTTTTATTTCTTTAAATATCAAAAACCCAAAAATATCATTTTTATTAATTAATTAATTTATTAATTTAATGATTAATTTAGATCTAGTTTCTTTTTTAATTCAAAATAAACCAAAAATCTTTTCTTTAATAATCAAAGGGTCAAAACCCTAAAAATGCGCCCGATTTAATTTTCCCGCATGCGATCCATATTTATTCAATATTGTATCTGTTTCCTGGGATGTAATAGTTTAAGAGGACTTTACTATTTTTTATCGCTTTATTTATTTTCCGCATTTTAATTTCAAGGGTTGCTTTTGGCGATGTAAATACCCGACGCCTTGTAATAGTTAGTTTAATTTCCGCAATTTAATTTCCGCAACTTATAAACTGTTAGGTGTTTGATAATAGGGAATGCATGACAAGATCGAATGTTTAACCTAAAATCAACATAGATAACCATTGACATGTACAAAGATAAAATAAACTGAAAACAACACACTC